TACGTACCATGCGTAGTCCGTTATCGTACTCAATTTATTACAATTTGGCTTTCACGGATAAAGTCGTAGTGTGAAACAAAAAATTCAGTCATGGTGATATTATCATCTTTCGCTATTACAGTTGAAAATAAATTACAGATGGAAATACGAGTAGCAGGGAAGTGGTAATTGATAGATTCATAGATTCATTAAAGTGCATGAACAAATAGCAGAATTGAAAAAGATTACTGTTCAGAAAATCATGTCTTGGTTCCCGAACAATAGGACCCGGGACCAACAATTTTATTCCAATTGGAAAGGAATATCAGCAAGTTTGGTTTTAAAAAACAAAATTATCCGAAATTATTTTATATACTCTTCGCCCTCGATGATGCAACAAAGAAAGAATGCTGTGTGTAGTGTGCAGTGTGCAGTGTGCAGTGTGCAGTGTGCAGCAAGACCAGCTGTGCTGCCGTGTCAAACAATATTTTGATTGCCTACTCGAAGACAAACGGGACCACCAGCGCACGACCAACAGCTCCATCCTCGAACTGCAAATTCTTTAGAGCCTCGTACACATTGAGTCGAATGTCTCCGACAGCATCTTCCATCACGGGTCGATCTGCCTCGTCGTATCCAATAACCCCCCGGAAATCTTCCATGTCTGCCTGGATCGTATCGCAAGTGGCGTAGACGTGGTCGACGCATCCGTCTTCGTCGATTTCCACGCGCACAGCGAGGTATCCAACCACGCGACCAATTTCTCCACTCCCAATGGTTGCTACCAAAGGTTGGAGGGCTTCGTCCAGGTAGGTTGCTGCCTCCATCCTCTGGTCCTCGTCTCCCCACGATCCAAACCAACAGGTTTCGGGTTCGTTGAACCAACCGTGAACGACCACACGCGCATTTCGCGGATCGTTGCTCCCGATCACACGATTGACCCCGTGGGGAACACGGGGATCAAAGGCAATGCAACGCCCCAGGGGTGTTGGTGGAATGTAACGAATAATATTCCCACACTCCATGGCCTTCCCGGTTGAAAAATCTCTCCAGAGGTCCAGTATTTYTGGTTTCATTATCACCGTTTCTCCTCCCCGAAAATCGCCGTTCTTGGAAAGAGACAAAACAAAAGCCATAGGGCCGTGCGCGGCATCTGTGTGGAAGTTTTGCGTATCGCCGTCTGTGTACATGGACGTCCATGGTGGCGAGATGGCCGTCAATCCGATCGAATTTGCGAGAGAGACCAACTCGTCAACGAGATCGTTATAATCATCTTCTGAAAAAAAYAGGCTTGTCTGAATTCGTTTCAGTGAGTACTGTATCTGGTTCGACAAAGCGTTTTCTTCTCCTTCGATTGTAGTTTGTTGCTCTGCTAGCAAATCATTTTCGTCTTCCTCTTCATTTATTTGCGTACGTCTCCCATCACCGGCCAAAACAAACCAAGGGTCCCATGCAAATCTATCTCCGTTTGGTTGCCGTGGATCTTGAAAGTGGTAGTCATACGCATCACGAAGTCTGTTCGCGATGAGTGATAGCGACATCGTGCTCAATACCTGTGTGTAGGACGACTCATGAAGCGGCGGCGGAACTCCATCTTCATCCGACAAGAAAGATCGTTCTTTTATTTCAAACGAGTCATCCGATCCMCTGTTGTCAGTAGAAATAGATGTTTTCTCGTCTATCGCAGAATTCAAATCCATTCTTTTGGCTTCCGTGTGTTTGTGAAGAGSGATGGTTGGAACAAAGCCCACTGTAACTCTATCAGTCAGTAGAAACGCCATCATAACCATCACATAGGTGGTGAGGTTGAGCGCAGAGAGTCCCATCATATTTTCAGTCGGAAGCGGCTGGTTGTAGTCGACTAAAGCGATGATTGATTCTCTTGTTCGATATGACCTGCGAGTCGAACGATAACGTACGATAGGCGAAGTAATTGCAGTTTAGGCTTGATTAATATCAGTCCTTTTCTTCCTCTTAATTTCTTTTGGGCGTTTGAGTTCAGTCTTTGGGTTAGACCATGAACACCATCATGTTCTTATGCCAACTCCGATATGATGTTTCCCTGCTCTCTTCTTCTGATCTCGTTATCCATTTGATGGGTGGATGATGTCGAATCTCGCATTTTTGTTTTTAGCACCATCAGTACGGTAGTCTCTGGTTCGTATTGACCATAAGTACCTGTACATAGTTACGTACTACTACAGGATACGAGTATCGTACCGTACGTATCTCAAGGCAGGGGTCATAAATTTAATGACCCCTGTCTCAAGGTAGATAACTCGTACGGTACGGTATCGTATGGTACTTGGGTACAGTACTACGTACCGTACGAAGTATTTTGTTATGGATGAGATAGAGTCGAAGATAGCGGGAATGATTGTGTACTAATCTCGAATTAAGAAGAAAGATAATAAGTTACGTACAAGGCAATGAATCCGAAACCTTCTTGAAAAGCTGTGGGTGGACAACTTCAAATACAGTACTGCAGTGTCAAATTAATCTATTCACAAAATGTGTGCTGTACTTATTATTTGTAGCAGTAACGGAGTGACGTTTTTTAGTCAAAAAGAGGAAATGGTTGCTGGTCAATGGTGTGTGGCTGGAGAGTACCCTACTCGTACTTCATTGACGAGGAAACTACCAACGACTACTACATCATGCATCCTTATGAACGAATACGAGTACTACCGAGAAAAAATAACGAAGTTCTGATAAAAATTTGGAAATGCGGAGATAGAAGAAACAACAAATTGAGCTGCATGAAGTGTTGGTTCGATTGCGACTATTTGGTACGAAGACTGCTACTACGTTCGTTCGTGCACACATCTACCGCATTTATCTCAAACTAAAGAACTTGAAAATGTTCGGTAGGTGTTAATTTTTTGTAACTTCGTTCTAATTTACGGAAGTACTTTCCTAATGCATACGATTGGCTACTGAAGGTACGTAGTCACGGTTGTCTAATCATTATTGGATGGTCAGTGGTTGTGACGATATGGTCGGAATGTTTTTCATTTCCAATAAGTAAATCGGTATGTGGGGCTCTCACTTTTTAATATTTGATGAGGAAATTAGAGCAATGACGTAATTAGTGAATTTGGATGACTGTTCTCGCTTAATGGGATCAATATTTTACGTACGGTACGGTAGTAGTAGATATGATCATTTTCATGTCTTGATCTTGTTGCAATCTCTTGAACGCTTTTGTCCGTAATCGTACAAACGCGAGTCTTGCCTCCAGCCGTTAGCACGAATCTCTTCCGTTACAAGGATCAGTCTTATTGTAGGCTTCAATACTACATGTACGTACGTTCTTTAACGTACTGTAATACAGTAATTTTTCAAAGCAGTCGGAGTGTGCAAATAGACCATACAGAGTACGGTACAGAGTCACAGTTTCAAAAGTTCTTGTGAAAGACCGGGAGCGGGTTAATATCGTGCCGCACACGTGTATAGGCTTTTTGCTATAGGCTTATATAATAATCATACCTAGTTCTAGTACTTTGCAAAGTCTGATTCGAGCGGACCATCAAAAAAGAAGCTGTAGCATGTGCATCGGCAGATCCATCATCTGCAGAGAATTTGACAGAATCTTTTCCGAGGCCAAAAGCAGAAMTCAAATAAACTACCACTTCTGCGGCTGCCTTWRATCGGATGCAAATTTTTACGTCCATCCAAATTCTTTGTCGATGGAGCTTCTCATCACGTACTTCTTTAACGGCGAAAGATCTAAAAGCCAGCATCACAACAACCACTCATATTCCAAAAAATCTGCAACTGGATCAAATCAGTCACGACCCTAACAACRACCATCACTGACTGATGACACACAATGAAGGCACATGGAACTAAAACGACGAAGACAAGTACAATGATGGCATCCAAGCAAAACAGATTCGGCGATAGGCTTTTTGGAGCCCGCAAGGTGCTCTTGCCATGTCTCATACTTGTAGTGGCAGTKGTTCTGGCCTCTCCAACAAAATGCCCATTCGCTGTAGAGGCTACGGCTGTCGACAAGAATRCAAGCTCTTTGAGAGGCCAATCCATTCGAAGACACCGTCGTTCGGAATCGATTGCATCACAAACGACGWACTCACAAACGACGAACTCAGAGATACCATTATCCAATAATCCTTCAAAAGTTAGGCGAAAACTGCTGTCAAAAAAGCGCTACTTTGCAAGATATTCGGGATCCGTCGGTCGAGCATCGGTCCAGCGATGTGCAAAATCGATTTTGGAAGACGACGATGACACAGACTACACGGTTTTCGAAGTAGATTTTGAAATTGAAGTAGATRTCGACGCWGACATTGGTATCGATGAAATAATGCAAAAAGGTCATTTGGTGTATGATCAAGATTTCAATTACGACATCAGTAGTGGCGGAAGCAGCAGCAATAATGATGATGTAGAAGGATGCATTTCCTCCCTTCGAAAGATGAACGACATTTTRGATGTGGAGGAGGATCGTCGAGTCTCGCTATTTCAGGAATCATTAGTTTCGCCGTCATCGTCGACAGAGGGCTTCGAAGAGGGATCTGAAGAATTCCCATGGAATGTCGAGGCCATCCAAGCCGATTGGGTGCCACCGGGTTCCAACAAGGTGACAGTATGGTAAGTAATCACCTTCCTCTGTACGGTATGGTAGTTMCCGCTCCATACGATACCTCGAATTTKTATCTAGGGGAATAATTTTTATTYMGCCTTTTCATTGGCTGCRCACTCCAGCGCGAGCAAGATGAGAGGCGTCGACTGTAACGTGGATGAATTATGAGAACAGAAGAGCATCGATTGATGTCGAAAGCTATGCCATTGCGTTATTCTAAGCAAAATCTAAAGACTTCGTTGTTTTTTCCTTCCAACAACCCTCCCTTCCCTCTTGTATTGATCATGGATACAGTGTAGTTGATACCGGAATAGCTGCCAATCATCCTGGGTTTCCGTCAACGCCGTCCTCTACAGACCTAGGAGAGAAAGGAATTTATCGAATAAAGGGAAAAGATTTTCGAAATCTCTCATTTACCGGTGGAGCCAGTGGCACACGATTGATGAAATGGAACCGTGACATCAATGGCCATGGCACTCACGTGGCTGGGGTAATATTTAACGTTGTCGATGCCAGTAGATATATTACAGGGACGCCAAACAATGTTGAGCTCTTCGTCGTGAGCGCCTTCGACGGAAACGACGTTGGATACGAATCAGACGTGGTACGTGCGGTACGAACATGTGTTGGGGAAGCCAAAGCAGATGTGATAAATTTGTCCCTCGGAAATGTCTATCCATCATCGTTCAGTGCTGCGTTGTATGCCAGTATTGTYGAGCAGGGTGGGGCAATCATGGTTGCAGCAGCTGGGAACAAGCACGAAGGCGCGGAAGACTTTGACTTTTATCCAGCATCGATCCCGTCAGTCATTAGTGTTGGAGCCGTCGAAAGAGGTGGATCCCACTTTCCAAGTTCCATTCGAAACAATCAAGTTGAGCTTGTCGGGCCAGGTCACGAAATCCTGTCCACCGGAGTGAGATGGAATGAAGAAAAAAGCGAGATGGAATACGTCTACGAGCGCCGATCGGGAACATCAAGTGCAGCTCCCCACGTGACCGGGGCGGTAGCCTTGCTCAAAAGCCACTATCCCACATGTTCCAGTCGACAGATACGATATGCCATGGCCAAGACCGCCGTTCGTAGCGAGAACAAGAATTCGAACTCTAACTCGGAGGAGGAGAAAACAACAGAATGTGACTCGGCAGAAGGATACGGGAGTATCCAGGTACGAGATGCTCTCGATTGGTTGTTGTTCATGGGAGGGTGTGACTCATGGGACGTTGAGTTGACAAGTCTTGGGGGATGTAGCAC